CGCCGGTTTCGGTTGCTGTCTTTTGGTTGCCCATTTGGATAAAAGAGCGAAGTGAAGATTGGAATGACTCAAAAGTCTAACCCACACGGCAGTGGGGGGCAAATTCAACGCGGGAGCGTGAACGAGGCACCCGTGTAGGAGCTTCTAGAGACCTGTCACGCAAGACCTTTGAATTCCGCTTAACTCGGTTCAGCGTGTTGTTCGCTGGTGCGTTGATTATCGGTCCGCTTTTCGGGATCAGCCCTCAGCCTCTGTTCGCTGGTGCGTTGATTTTCGGTCCGCTTTTCGGGATCAGCCCTCAGCCTCATGCACCCAATGAGATGAGCGGAACGTGGGTGGGACAGCACCTTATTGGCTAGGCTGCCCAGCTTGGGCGGGCGGTAGCTGTTCAATGAATTGCGAAGACTTCTCCCACCGTCGAGAGGAAGTGGGCGGTAGCTGTCCAATGAAGTGCGAAGACTTCTCCCACCGTCGAGAGGAAGCCCCAGGTGCCCGCTCCTACGTCCATCTAGCGGGGTTTTTTGACCGGTAAACTGCCCCTCACCGTGTTTTCCTGGAGTGACCTCTCCAGGGGCGCGTGTGGATAGAAGAAAGAAGCCAGGGGGGTGCCCAAGCAGCTGGCTTGTGAGACTGGTCTTCGTCTGGCCTCTACCCGTTGACCTTTCAGACACTTGTGAGACTGGTCTTCGTCTGGCCTCTACCCGTTGACCTTTCAGGCATGATTGAATCTACAGCTGTGAAAAGCCCTCCTGTGTAGCTCGCAGGGTCATGGAGGCACGCAAGCCATCACCACGTCAAGGTGCAGTCTCGTCGTGATGGACGGGTGAGAATGGCTTTTTCGGAAAGTTTTGCTGGTGGTACCAAGTCTCAAATCACGAAGGCTCATTGTCTGCATGCATCCAATCATGTTTGTGTATATTAACCGACAGCTATAAAAATGCTTGATTTTTAATAGATTCGATAGTTCGTTCTTTGTGTCAATCATTGGACGGTTTGTGAGTGTGGGATATTAGTCAGAAAGTTGAAGTCAATATGCCAAATACTTGAGAATTTTCGTAGAATTTTGAACACATTTACAAGTACCGTGGGCTGGTTTCACTTATGATGTTCTTGGATAATTTCGGACAGAAGCAGGCCCTCGGTAGGCAGTGTTTTCCAGTGCACGTGGTGATTAAAGGCAAATCAAGGCAGGCAGTTCGTGCATTGGTAAAACCAAACGATCATGCGAAATCCACAGACTAGGTTGGGCAGGTCAACATTTCGCATTTCTTTGGGGTGCAAATAGTAAAAACTATCAACCACTGAAGTTAATCCCAGTTAAGTCAAAGATTGCAACAAAAGTTGTGTTTATTTTCATTTTAGATAAAGGAGCAGTCATCTTTGATCCCAGTGGCGAGTGATTCGAGGGGAGAAACTAACTGCAGTAGGCAACCCCATCATCTTATGCATGCTAAGTAGATTGTCAGGTGGGCATTTCAATTTCAGAAATACGCAAGCAATCGAATTTAATTCAAAGGAACCGGTTTTACTCGAGAGAAACTCGACCTCAGTGGGATTTACTCATTGGGTTATTGAGGGCTTAGGTTGAATGAATCATGCCCACATTCACGTCTGGATATGGTGACCGACTTATCGATCCATCTTGACGTGATTCGCTTCCTTACCCAACCGACAGAGATCAATTAACTCCGGGTTCGCTCATTCGTATCTATGACGTACATTCAGTAAACGATCACGAACATAACGTTCCCGGTCGGGGGGAGGACGGTCTAATTCACCCCTCGAAACATTCATCCTCCTTCGGTAACTCATGTAAAAAGTACTTTTGTTTGTTTACGGAGAAGTTAGTTCATTCGGACCAGACGGGGATTAGACAGACCTGATCCAATCGTTGACATTCGACGGCCGAAACACCGATCATCTTGTGGGGTTTCATGGAGTGCGATTGGCTGGATACACTTGAAGTTACAACGGATTCACTTGAATTTATTTTGTTTGAGTTGTTTTTTCTGTAGATGGATGTTTTTATTTTCTCTGCAGTTCAAATTATTTTCATTTATAGTCCATGAGATGATAACCGTGCGACGAAGACACGATTGCTAATGGCAGCGGACAACGAAACACAAAATCACGAAAAGAGAGTCGATCATCGAGTCAAAACTAATGTGACGTAGGCAGGACAGAGAAGCAATAATGGCAGAACACACCCTGGTGTGGCTTGAAAAACGATAGACGACAATGTAAATGTTATGATGTTCGTAACACAGCGAGATCGGTAGAGAGTTATATTCGCCGTTTCGGTCACCGTGGGTAACCTTCCTCAAGGCAGGTTTTACAATCAAATGACTCAGAGGAAAGAACTACAAGTCAACGGATATTTCATCGTGTGTGTGTGGTGGGCTGAATGGTTTGTTGTCTGACATACTAACTCCCATTATCAGATGGGGTCTAGTGGCACCGTGACCTTCATCGCGATTGTGCGTTAGTGATGTCATGGTAGTCCAAATTTCGTCATTTCTGTTGGCACATGTAGAGTGGGTGTTCATGGCCAAAGTTAGGCATACGAGCGTTCAGTGCATGTTCAAACTCGGAGTTGGAGTATTTTCGTGTTCTTGTAGTCCACAGTGTGAACTTCGGCTATGACGTGAACAGCGATCGCTGAGTCAGATTCCAGTTTTGCCAGAGTTGTTTTTTCTGTAGATCGATGTTTTTCTTTTCTCTTGTGTTCGGTTATCCTTGTCTTAAGTTGCCTACTGGTTTGCCCAATGAATTCAGCGGCGCATTCTTTACAACTGATTATTTAAATGCAGTTGTTTTGATCGTACAATTCGGCGAATATAATTCTCTACCCATATCGCTGTGTTATTATCATTATAACATTCACAATAAAACAGCACATGGTGCGTCTATTTTTCGATACACTCCTGACATCATTCGATAGACGACAAGTTTGAATCCGTTACGTCATCGAATGAACAATACAATAACACGAAACTTATTCGAACTGAAACATTGTGCCTCTCCAACCCACGCATTCCACGTCATCTACAATACAGCAAACACAAAATTACTGAAATTTGCCGAGGCTAATACTCTCACACCCGATCTACGCAAACAACGTGTGGACGGTTAGTCACATTAACTCTGTCTTGGTGATTGACCCCCTACTATCTCGCTCTCTCGTTCCCTTTTTTGTGTGTTGTTGCGTCGTGTTGTCCGTTAGCGATCTTGTCTTCGTCTCACAGCTATTGTCGTGCTGACTTTATAAAGAAATCAGCAGTAAGTGCACGTGTACAAATGCAGCGCACTGATCATTGTGCTTCCGATATCTCTACTCAAATTTGTGATGGGAAAACAATGTTTGCTGTATTGTTTTTCATATGAAACACCACAGTAGAATTTGTCCTATCAAACGTTTCATCAACCACTTTTCTTACGGGTTTCTTGTTTCACCGAACTAGAAATCGAAATTGCTTAGTTTACTTGCTGCTAACTCTAGTTGCGGAATGAGTACTATCCGTGAGTGACTTAAACATTATACCCTCTGACAACGCCATAGAGTCCTTTCGCAGGTCAAAAATGAGATCCGACTAAACTTGTTGTCATGTTTAATACACTGAAATGAATGTTCGTTGCGAAAAATGTCGCAACCGCAAGATCGAACATCTCTCGAAACTTCCTGGGATTGCAAGGACTATTGGCAACCGCGCGGTGTGGTCAGCGTCACCTATATTTGCACCCGATTCTTAAGTGTTCACAAGGACCTATCTCCTTATGATTATGTTGACGTAACTGTCTCTACTTTTGCGACATTTTTNATGTCGCAACCGCAAGATCGAACATCTCTCGAAACTTCCTGGGATTGCAAAGACTATTGGCAACCGCGCGGTGTGGTCAGCGTCACCTATATTTGCACCCGATTCTTAAGTTTTCACAAGGACCTATCTCCTTATGATTATGTTGACGTAACTGTCTCTACTTTTGCGACATTTTTGCCAACAATTCGTGCTCACACACGAGTCTAGTTTCCAATCAGGTGACTCTCTGAGGCCGCGCCATTTTGGAAACTCTGTAGCTCGGATAAGCCAGTTTCGCAATGTCCGTACATCAGTATCATTATGTATATATGTCAAAGTAATCTCAGGTCATATTACAAAATGCATTTCATTCTCTTTGACTTCTTGATTCATCATTGCTGTTGTGGATATGAACTCGGCACAATGAAATTTCGTTTATTCCATTTAACGCCTTCACTCGTGATTCCATTGCGAGGTGAGAATAGTTCACTGATATCATATGAAACTAAATCGGTGATATGACATGCAAAGATTCCCTTGGTGCTATCAAGATGTAGCTCTTAGTGTTATCACGCCGGACTTTCTTATCAACCAAATTTGCCGAACCATTTATATTCTTATCTGTCCCCCTTCCCTCCCCCTCTGTCTCTCGCTCTCGCACTTTCTGATACACATCAAACGATTGCAGCGTAGAATTTGGAGCTTGTTTCTGTACAACTTATTTTCTGATCTGGTCAAACCAGCCTACTGGACTCTTTTACCCGGAGAGGGTGACTTTTTGAAATGGGCCAAACGGGATGGTGGATACGCGTGCGACTGTGCTCCACAACATCGTTGGGTCGATACCAGTTTACAGTGTGAACGAACTGCCGATTGGGTGGACCAGTGCAAATCGTCCTCGTCCGGATCGGTGCATAATTTAGGCCCGTGTAATAAGAATGGGACGTTTCAATGCACAACCGACCAGTAAGTGACTTCCTCCCAATCAGATGTTTGTGTGTGTCTGTGTGCTATTATCATAAACGTCGCAAATTGGTACACATATGTGTGTGCGTGTGTGTTCGGTGTTCGTGTGTGTAGCCGCGGTTACACCTGACTCCAGGTCAGGACTGTAATTGGCTTTTTGACAAATCAGAAAGTGTGTTTAGACGGACAGTGTAAGTTCCTCGTTGGCTGGATCTACAACAATGACTGTGCGGATCTGCACTTGGAACGCATATCACAATGGGATGAATTTGTCTCATGCAGTTGACATTTTGCACATTTTGCACGTGTGCAATGTGTGGTTTGCTGTTGACTATAGTCAATTTCTGAGGGAAGAACACACTGTTGTTCAAAGCTCGAATGATCTATCGATTGGAATCTGGAAAAGTTATGGAATGAACCGGCTTTCAGCATGTGATCACACGGGTGTTGCTTCAAATTATAGTAATGTCAGATGTGGTTTTGACTACGTGACTACGCGCCAAACAAATTAAGTTACAAATATTTAATTCGTGGAAAGAAGTGGAAACTACGTAAGTTGAAACAGCTCTAACAGAGTAGCGGTTGTCTACTCATGTCTTACACGGTCTCTAACCTGTGATATAAGGGGAAAAACTTAGACCTGATGCTCAGGAATTCCTTTTCCCAGCTCCGTATTCCTTGACCAAACTGGACGTACGTTAATTGGTAAACGGACCCAATTCACTTGCTCGGCGCGCCTACTCAGTCAGATTGTAGAGCAAAAGCACAAGTGATGAATTGCAGGTCGAATGTTATTGATCTGAGTAAAATTCGGAGCTGTTTTGGTCTACCCAGCCTCTATGTTCTTGGCGGATCGATCGGTGCATTGTGGACAGTCAAAACCCAATCGAACGCAAGGAGAGAGGTCGATGTGTTGACGCTGACTCTGTTGGCTACAGGGAGTACACGTCTGTGCATGCAACTGACAGCAGACAAATTAATCCAGTGTTCATACAACCAATGATAATGCGGAATGAACTGATGGTGGAACGAGTAGAGTTCAGTGTCTATATATATTTTCACATGCACGTGAGCGAAACCCGCAAACAATAAAACGAAAACTTGTGTACACTGAGGTCGAACGTAGATTTGACAAACGATATTGTATTAGACGCGAATTCAGCATAAACAACGGGTCTGTGAATTGACGAGAGAGACAGGGAGAATACTCGTGGATAGATACGGTTGACAATTCAACCAACTAATACTGAAATGCTTGTTCATCATGCAATGCTTGCTTGGTAATACCTATCACCGCCAAAAAGATGGAGTTGCCACGGAGTCACCGTAAGGGCCAGTCATTGTGGATATTTCCAGGACAAAGTTAGAGATCGGTCCGCTATACAGAAAGTCATCAAAATGTTGATAACTGCACTAGATATCTGGACGATATTTTCGGTTTCCAGTGACAATTTGAACCTTCATCACGCTGCACAGTTGAAAAGGAAGAAAATAACTCATTACTAATCCTCGATGTTAATTTAACGATACGTTTGGAAGGCTTCATGTGATGAATTCAATTCTTGAAACAGCCCTATCCTCGTGCGAGGATAGCGCTATCGATTTGCTCCCAGGTGGCAGACTGTTTGATCTATAGTATGTGGACGACATTGTGCTACTAAGTGAAGATCCAGGTAAGTTGAAGCTTTTCTGGATAGTTTGAGTGCCAGTGTGGACATGTTCGGTATGCGTTTTGCATATTCAAAGTGTAAAATGCTACTACAAGATTGGGTTGGTTCAGCACCCAGTCTCACCCTAACTGTGGAAGTAGTAGAGGAAGTAGATAAATTTTGTTATGTAGACAGTTATATCTCACCTGGCGGAAGCATCACCGATGAAGTGTCGGCGCGCATACAGAAAGCTAGGTTGGCTTTTTCCAACTGGAGACATCTGTGAAGCCGTCGTGACATACAACTGTCTGTGAAGGGTCGAGTGTATGCTGCAGCAGTTCGGCCAGTCCTGTTGTACAGAGACTTGGCCTTTAAGGGAACAGGATAAAAATAGATTGTTGATGTTTGAACACCGCTGTCTACGTTGCATTGAACGAGTTTTGTGGGGTAACCGGATGAACAGTGCTGTGCTTAGGCGTGGAGTTTTAGGCATTCGCGGTAGTCCACTGGAGCAAGTGATCGACCTGCATAGATTACGTTGGTTGGGGCATGTGTTACGCATGTCACCAGATAGGTTGCCTCGGCGAGCGATGTTTGCCAAGGCTGGTAGCGGTTGGCAGAAGATTACCGGTGGTCAAACTAAGACCTGGAGGGAGGGTATGAAAACCTTAACCGGGAGGCTAGGTCACATAGGCAGGGTTAGTAGTTGTAAAAACTGAACTGAACTGAACTTCATGAAATGCAGAGTACACGAATTTCCATAGTTTTGTATCGCGCGCTAACAAGTGAAACTTTATGCACTGTTTTCTATTCAGAGCAAATTACATCTGTTCATATGCATTAGAAACAGAATTAGTTTAATACGTGGGTTGTACGATAAGTTACCTACCTTAACGTTTGAAGGAATCTCAACGACTGAGTAAATGTGATTACCTCTAGGTCGATTTTTGCACCCTTGAATGAGACTGGGCATAGGATGCTGACTAACCACGCTTGCACCATTATTTACTACGTCCCAAAACATCAACCCAAAGCTGTTCAAATTAAAACGCTAATAACAGCCGAGGCAATAGTCATTCGCTTGTTGAAGCCATAATAGTTCGCAAAAAATCACCTGTCCAGATAATCGAAATTCCCTGGCCCAAAGTGGACAATATAATGCATGAGCATTGTGACGACTAAAAATATATTACTGACGCTTACGTAACCAGTTCTTTTTCGAACAAGAGTCGAACTTGTTTCCATCCCATCACATATGCCCCCCGTCGTTTTCCTACATAACTGTGGTTGTAATGGAATGAGAAAAATATTCGGTCACCTACGATCTACGATACGATAGGCTTATATTTTTATGTATGTTTTCCAAACTTTGTTTTACTTTTGTTCTTCAGTGAAAGGTGTTGTAAGCGGGTGTTTGTCTTTATTAGTCGTCTTCTATGAAGAAAGTGAGGAAAGAAAACTTTGTTCTGGAACTAAGTGAATATACCCATCGTTCTGATCTTCAAACACTAAATCAAATTTATTGCCTATAAAGCTGCAAAGCTTTGGATTCAAAGTTATTTGCTGCACCCTTTCAGTTTTCCTTAGATCCTTAACTGAATGTAGTTGTTCTGTGACGTTTTAAACAAATTTCACGGCACGCAAAGTTATTTTATGACCTTAAATGTTACTCTAATCATTGCGGCTAGTAACATGAAAGCAGTGACTGTGTCATCTTACACGAATTTCTGGTCCGCGGAGCGTGTACCTTTTCTCTTTGGATTTCAAAATCAGATCCACCAGATGAATTCTTATTTGGTGCATGCAACTAGGTTGTTCAAATCGAATCGTACGTACTGCATGCAAAACTGAAACGGCTGTTTGATATGTTGTTCACGTGTTATTGTTTGTGTTCACTTATTGCATTCCGAAGGCCTAAGTTTATGGCCGGGGGCGGGTGCCCAGGGTTGCGGCTGGTTACCCTTCCCCTATATCACGCGCGAAATGCTCCCATACGACCAAGCGTCTCAAATAACCTGTGCTGAGGAAGCCCTACTCACTGCCTTCTCGTACTGGTGAAGTTGTTTTTCCACCAAACTTAGACACCATTGACATCTAACCCCGTCCAGAGAGCATATGATCCGATGAACTAGGCACCGGCCCCCAATGAACTGCGGTTTTCACACACCGCCCAGCTGGCTTTTGGGTTAGGCTTTGGCTAGCCGAAGGCTCTGGTTGTGAATTCCTCAATAAAATTCACCTGCCTTGTCCAGGGCAACATGGCAGTATTTGGCTCACATGTAAATCATGGAACGTTTTTCTTTGTTCATCAAGGTTATTGCATGATGTCGATGACACACTGGTAATAACCTCAAACTAAACAGATGCCATAGTTTTGTTTAACAAATTGAACGGGATGCACAACAATATCAAGTTCACCTTGGAATGTGAGACTAATGGCTCGTTACCATTCCTAGACCTACGACTGACAAGATTGATGAATGGTACGCTCCTGACCTCAATTCATCACAAGTGTACATGGACGGGCCAGTATTTACATTTCTAAAGTTTTTGTCCTCTACGGTTCAAGATTGGATTGGTAAGAACCTTGTTCTACAGAGTTCGTCATCGGTGCAGTCCGGAAGTGATAGAAAGTGAACAGAGAGATTTGACGATTGCCTTGTCCTCTAATGGTTATCCCGTGCCTTTTATGGAGAAATATTGCACACCTTCCATTCTCAGGCCAACATACACTCCGGTCGAAAAGAAAACCAGTTTTCATTGGTGTGCCATTTAAAGGAGACGATGCAATAGCACGGGTTGGTCGTCGGCTTCGTACTACGGTTGAGTCCACCTATCCTGCCGCGAAACTGATCATGATTCACAGAACAATGAACTCATTAATGCGGTCAAACATAGACAAATCCAATAATTCGGTCACCTCCAATTGCACTTATCTTTTTCAATGTACTTGCGGTTCGCGGTACGTCAGAAGGGCTGAACGCCGACTGTCGACTAGAATGAGTGAGCATGTTCCGAATAACTTATCACTTAGGGGAGGAAAGCTTTCCAGCAAGCGCAGTGGCATGACATCTGCCGGATACCGGACACTGCATCGACAAACGCAAAGCTTTCTGCGTTGTGCTGAAAATACGAAGCCTAAGGATGCTTAGGTTTGCTGAAGCGGTTGTCATTAGCCGTTTAAAGTCTGACCTATGCGTCCAAAAGGCCTTTTTGATGCAAGTGTTGTTACCATGGTAATTCCCCTCCCCTTTCCTTCCCATCATCTCAATCGTTCTCTTACATCATCGTTGACAAATCGCTCTTCTCATTTTCTCATTGCGTAACTCTCTTTGACCTACTTATATGAACATTTTTTTACTTGGTTAACTTTCTGCGTCTAATCGAATTCATTTCTGGTTGTATCTTTTTCGTATTACTTAACCATGTCTAAATCTCTTTCCACCATTGCTAATCATTTTCCGTTACGTAACTGTTTCTATGCTAACATTCCCCTCCTGCTCTTTTACCCATACTCAAATGACTTTGGTAGTGACTCAACCTCTCAGTGCCTTCTGCTTGACCCCATGTATTTGTAAAATGTCCATATATGGTATTCTTAAGATAAAATTTGACCCATTTAATGTGCGTAGACAGCTGATTGAGAGCACGTGAAATTGATGGCTAATATCAATTCTGCTCATATTGTGTTATTTATATGATGATTTGTTTAGCATACAGTTTGGATTCAGAAGAGTGCGAAATAAATAGTTCATTACATATCACACTTTTTTTTTCTAAGATTAGATCAGAATCATGGAGTAAAACGATGTCCGTTGATATCATTCAGAAATCATTCAAAGATCTTCCACACGAACATATGCCACTCAGATGTCGGTTGAATCCGGGCAAAGATTGGGCGATCGGGTTGATCGAGATAAAGAATCAAAAATACAAATTCATTCAAAGAGAAACCAACCAAAACCGGAGTGAAATAATAGGCGAATTAGGCAGTCAAATAATCTCGGTTCCTTCCATGATGGTCATCTCAAATAAAAACATTTCATTATTTAAGGTGGGAAGGAAAATTGAAAAATAGACGGAACACTGTGCTCCGTGATTTCGATAAGTTCGTTCTTTATTTCATACTGAAATATTTGTTTTGATAATAAGTATGTGTCTTTCAGCATGCCAAATGTAGACCAGATTATAGTGTATGTTCCATTTTCTGAATTATTTTTTTTTTAGGGAAAGCCATCGTTTTTGTAGTTTTATCACGGCATGTGACGATATGACCATTCTGTTTGTGACGGTATTCAGTTCGCGGGCAGTTCGATACAGATTCCAATGAGGACTCTAGGTGTTGTAGAACCGATATGGTATTGTGAAAAATGAATAATTACGATTGTTCTGTACCGGCAAATTAGTGGCGTTTGTCATTTTAAATCACAGGAGATTACCTGAGCCTTTAGGTGTGAATCATCATGTGGCATTGATTGGACCGTCTTCGAAGTCACGTGAAAATCTCATAGTTGAATGGCTGACGTATTTTTTATGTCATTCTACATGATAGTATACGACTAAGGAATAGTGTCACCTGATGCACATGATAAGGGATCGGTGTGTGCAGGCATATTCGTTTTGAATTTCGTTTTACACACACACACACACACACACACACATGCATATCCATGTCTGATAGGATAGAGCATCAAATAGCCACAAATTCCACAAGACATCAAATTCACTTATAAAGTAAAGTAGACGTACAAAGGATTCTCTTCCGTGTGCTATACTTGTTTCTGTTTCCTCAGAAATACCGGGGCCGCGTACTGTGATTGCAATCCGGGATTCATTGGTGTACGGTGTGAACAATTGTTGGACGCCTGTTTGATGTCACTGGTCACCTATGTTTACAAGGATCCGAAAACCGGTAAAAAAGACAGGTTCGTAATTTGTTTTACTTTGTTCCACTAAATAATATGACAGACTGCAATTTTGCCACTCTTCTGCGGTTTCATCCGTATACATTCTCACTACTTGTATTTCAAATACGACCATTTTCCTCACCCTATCCCTGTTTGCTTCCAATGTTTTTGAGATCTTTCAAAGTACGCAGTTTTATTGGACAATATTACCTCAAGTACAGAGATGAACTTCAAAAAAGAACACGAAGAACTGGAAAACAACTATGCGAGAGCGGTTAAACTACCACCATTATAAACATTGAGTAGATCTGTGAACAGTGACGCGTGAAGCTTTACCCAAAAGGTCATGCGAACTACACGCCTCTTTCGTAGTTGAATTAGGCACAGATCACGAATGACAAATTACGATTCACGAATCACGGAAGTCACGAAACCACTGAATCGCACTAGCACTTGCACGCTGGTATTTTACGTAACCTAGACGAAAGGAAAAGGCCACAGAATTACCAGTTCTTTTATTGGGAGAAATCAAGGGCATTAAATAACATGCAAACAGGAAGTTTATTGGTTATATAGGAACCCACCAATCTCGTGATTGTATTCTTGATGTCATACAGCTTCTGTCTGAAGGGTACGCCGCTTCTGATTGGTCGGCACGATCGGCTTTTAGTTCGTAGTTCAGAAACTGAAATACGTATGCGCTTGACTGAAACGTACCATGAGCTCGGACGCGACTTCGGCTATGAGTATAGAGGGATCGTAATATTGAAATCAACATCTCGACTACACCCTTCGGAGAAAGACAGCGCCAGAGTTTAGCGCGTTCGACTAAATCGAAGGCCGCTTTTAGAGCTAGGACGACAGAGATGGTGAATCTACGAAAAGAATGTCGGTGCTGCAGAGTTTGGCGAAGAGTGAAGATGTGGTCGATACAATCTCGACCAGGTCCAAGATCAGCCTGATTCTCACGCGTGCACTCTTCATGTGGGGTAGACAATCGACGGTATACGATGCCAGCGAGAAGTTTAGAAGCGATGTTGATGAAACTAATTACTCTGCGATTTTTGCATATCGAACATGGCTACCTTCGCGCAAAATCATTAGTTCTTCCAGAATGGAAGAACTGATGATTGTGCGCCAAAGTGAAATCTGATGGATGATCAGGTTAATTCGATATCAGTGATCCCGCGCTACTACTCACAAGTAACTGTGAGTTAAATGTGAATTAAATCATTTCAACATGTGTGAGACTGCAATTGCGTGGCAGTGACGCCGTGGTTTTCAATTTTACCAACCTTCTTATTGTGGTAGATACGTCAAATTGTATTCATTTCTCCTATTTGTTTCAGAAATTTTGTACTAGAAACCAATTCAGTTACACAAAAAAACAAATAATGCAGTGTGCTAATGGTGATGAGTAGATATCTGTGTAACCCACCACCGTTACCAGTCAGTACCCCTTCAAAATGTATTTAATCATTTTACGTTTCATATGCGAAACGATTCTTACTCATTTTTTAGCATTACCTGTATTTGATTGTGTGTGTAAAAAGATGTCTACTTCGAACTGTTCCTACTCTTTGAAACCGACTGCAAATCGTTAGGAAGATTTCTTTGGGCCAATGACCGTTAGTGATTGATTGGACCAGATATAACTTGCTTATTCATCCTTCCAATTTGAGGCAATTTCTCACCATTCTGCGTATGGTGAGGCCATAACATGCTTGCTTCAGCATGTTCTGGGGGCTTTAAAATGGCATAAGTAAGAGTTGAAGATCGATATCCTATATATAAATATATTCATTGACAATAAGTAGTAGGTGAATGACTGGACAAAATTTCCCACGACCGGTTTCGCGGTTCTTGACGCTCGTCAGGCATGCGTATCCGGTTGTCAGTTCATATATATATATATATCCACATACGTGTGAATTCAGACTGTGTGCCAAACGAATCATGATACAATAATCTTAACGAGAAAGAAAGATCTTCCGTGATTTGCTGAATACTGCCAGGTTTCCCAGGACAAGGCAGGTGAATTTTATTGAGGAATTCACAACCAGAGCCTTCGGCTAGCCAAAGCCTAACCCAAAAGCCAGCTGGGCGGTGTGTGATAACCGCAATCCATTGGGGGCCGGTGCCTAGTTCATAGGATCATAAGCTCTTTGAACGGCGTCAGATGTCCATGGTGCCCAATACACCTCGTTGTCCAATCGAACCGGTGACTACTACAACAACCGCGAAGGTGTATGTGGTTGATTTGGAATCAGGACGTTTGCCCAACTTCCCTAAGTGAACTGCCAGTGGTCCATCAATCCGGTTATAGCCCCGGATATCGGCTTTTCGTCGTCTGTTTGGTGGAAAAACAACTTCACTAGTACGAGAAGGCAGTGAGTAGGGCTTCTTTAGCAGAGGCTATTCGAGACGGTTGGTCGTACGCGAGCTGCAAGGGCGGGGTGAACAGTCGCAGTTCTTGTAGATATCAAGCCCTGACCATACTGAGGCTAATGGAGGCATCTTATGGAAAAACGGGGAAACGGAACCGAAATTTTGATGTATTTTGACTTTTGTGAATGGAACAATTACGCCAGGCATACAGTGCACAATACGAACAAAGTGGCGATTGCAGTTTGAGTCGAGGTGATCATATTTAGTGGCAGTAGAGTTGTGTAAATGCAATTGGATTTTAACACAATTGCAATCATGTTTTCCATATCATTCAATAAACATTCATGACTTGGAGGCAGTTGCCAATTGAAAGAAAGTCAACCTCAAAATGAGAAACTTGTTCGATATAGGTGGTTTTCGAATAAACTGGTGGATTGTACTGCCCAATAACCTTCACCGGAGTGAAAAATACTAGATGTGTA